GTGCACATGTCCACGGCATTTTGAGTATGTAACAGAATAGAAAACAAGGCAAAAAGGGATCTCATGTTGTCATGTTGTCCCAAGGTAAGATTGGCTATGCTGAAACCATTCCCTACATTCAGGTACCTGTCTAACCTGCTCTTAATAGCCTCCATAGAAACTCAACGGCTCTCATTTCCTTTCTTGACCCCAGGGCCTATAAGCTTCAGAATTAACAGCTTCTCTCCCTTTCCCCTCTCAAGTTTGAGGGGAATTTTCAGCAGTTTGGCATGTCGATTGTAGCTTGCTCCAGGAGACTCCACACAAGTACTGATTACAGAATTTGCAACCCAAGATAAAACAGCATTGGGTCAGGGTGTACTCGTGGAAGAAAAAAGTTAGATTATGTAATTCTACTCCATGTTTCCCCCTAAGTATTCTTTTCTTCAAAGAAAAAATAGCTGAAATAAGTTGCTACTCTTATTAGGACAAGAGGTAGTTAGAAGCAGTTAGGAAGAAAGATTGAAGAAAAAGATTTATGCCCATACTAATTTTAATACGAAAAGGAAAAGAAAGATCATCTGTATTGTTGGTGACTAAAGGAAAAAAAATGTGTGATTTTTTAGCAGTCATTATTAGTCTGCTATTAAGACTAACTGTCTTTGTCTGTATTCCCCTCAAAATAGTGAATTAAGCCCCCAATATTATAATACAGGAATGTGTTCTCATACGTGTGTATGAGAGAATCAGAAACTAAGGCAAACAGTTCCCAAGGCATCCACTAGCATTGAATGCACCCTGTTTGGGAATATATAAAGCTTGATTTCCAGAGCTTGTAAGCACCTGTAGCTCACTCTGACCCTTGTTGGTGGGCAGCTATACCTGAAATATGAGTCTGACCTACCCAAGGTCAGTCAAGAAAATGGTGTAAGAACTGGTATGAATTATTTCCCAGTCCTACATTTTAACTCTAGAAGCTAAAAAGAGAAATTGTAAGGAAAAGCAGTCTTTTATTAGAACAATTAAATTGTTGGAAAAAATGTTCTTTGCAAGCTTTTGGGGACAAACACCCTTCTTCAGGCAAGGGGAGAGTGTCCCCTCTGCCTGAAGAAGGGTATTTGTACCTGAAAGCTTGCAAACAACATTTTTTCCAACAATTTAATTGGTCTAATAAAAGATAGCAGATTTACCCAAAGAACCTTGTCTGCCTATGCCTTTAGACAAAGCGGTACAATGTAGAGCTGTCTAAGTGTGCTGCCAGCAAGCTAGCTCAGGAACTAGAAGCAGTATAAGTGGGTTAGCACAGAGCTCTGCCTGAGCTAATATACCCTGCTACACAAAAGGTCAAATTAACTCAAGAAGAGCACTTTGCTGACACAGCTGTGTTGCTTTGGGACTTGAGCTAACTTGTGACCAGTATGTTCAAGTATCTCTACATGGCCTTGTTTTGCATCATGTAGACACCATGTGCATGTTATCTAGCTCTATCGATCTTGGGAGTTCAAATGACATGTATAACGCAGCTGAGCTTCCCTTTCATGATATATATTGTTGCCATAAACCTTTAATAAAAATACAATCTTAGAGTAGATTGTATAGTTGTGTACATTTTATTCTCTCTATAATTTTAAGCATAAAATTGACTGTAATACATAATGGATGGCTCCTTTAGTCATTACAGTCTCTGCTGTTAATCCATATTTAGTATTATATCAATCTGCAATTTGGACTATCACATTCAATATACATTTATAAATGATACTCTCCTTGGCCTGTAGCTAATTTTCAAATGTTAATCACTTGGATTTTTATTTAAATGGCCATACCCACATTGTAGATTTGGCATAGGTAGAAGTGAAAGCAATACTGAAAGTGCCAACTACTGAAATCCAGAGGCTGGATTTTCAAAGGTATTTAGGTGCCTACAGATGTAGATAAGTGCCTAGTGGAACTTAGCAAAACACCCAGGTGAATTAGTTGCCTAACTCTCAGCGAAGATACACATCTAACCAGCTTGGGTGTTTTTGTAAATCACATTAGGTACCTATCTGCATACTTAGGCATCTAGATAACTTTAAAAATTTGGCCCTAGGTGTCTAAACCTCTTGAGTCATGCAGGCAGATTTCACCTCTGGCCTATACACATTTCCATAAGCCAAGTGAGCGATGCTAATACAAACAAGAGAAAGAAAAGTCACAAGCTGGGGAAGAGCATTCTTGTATATAATTTGCTGCCCATAATATACTGCATACAAGGATGAAGAGAAATCTAACAAGAACTGAAAGAGACACTGAAGAACTAAACACAGCTGCTTTAAGTGTACATGTGTGTTGAATCCTATTAATAGGAATAAGAACAAAATCATGGGGAAAAACAAAAGGGATAAGGATATTATGTCAAGTATAATGGTGCCTTAAGCCCCCACCAAAATCAGGGCCCCAAGCACTACTGTCAAAACCGAAAGAGCTTGCAGTCAAGAATTAATACTACAACTTTACAGATAGAAACTGGGGCACAAAGAGAAGAAATGGCTTCTCTAAAGTCACAGAGAGTCTGTTGTTATCCCAGTCAGAGCTGGAAAAGCAATCCAGAGTAGAGTCCCTGTTCAGTGCTTTAGCTACTGAACCGCACTTGAAAACTATGTAGAGTTGAGGAGGAAAGGATTAGCCATGTTGCAGACAAGATGCATTTGGGGTTACATTTTCAACTGGATGGCATCACATGGATGATAGTGTCAGTGAGAGCTGCCAGCAGCAAAGATGGGAAAACAAACTGCTAGCATGTGCTGATCCAACTGGTCACATTTGGGCCCAGGAAATGCTGTTTGGCAGCACGGTAGAAACACAATCACACTGCAGTGGACGGTGGTGACATTTTGGATTAAGGATTTGCAAAATTTAATCTTCAGGATTGCAGCAGTTTTGGAGTAGTCAGCCCAGATACCATTCCAACCCAGCAACTGTCCATTTTTCTAACAGAAAACCAGCTGAATTCATTCTGGATCCTATCATCGGCACTTCTTTGTACAGTTCTGGCAAATTTTGCCTTCACATATCACCAAAGCATAGAAAAGGAACAGATGTCAAACCTGGATAGTTCACTTTTCTTGCTGCTACAAAGAAGCCAGGGCTGGAGACAGAGAGGATAATTATTGAATCAATCCCTCCCTCCTCAAGTTTCTGGTGTGGTAGAACAAAAAGAAAAGGCCTCTGGCTCCAAAAATATGGGCCTCTACTATTTGATCTTAAGGAGGGCTGCTTTAATTCACCATAGACGCCTTGTCTTTCTTATGGGCCAGATGCAGAAGAACAGCAATCGCTCGTGCACATAAACAACTAGCACATTGCAGTACTAACCAGCACTATTTCAAAGGGAGCTGGAAGTACTACAGACCCCCCAGGTTATAAATTATGGGTAATAGTATGGAATAGTTGTATACCTTCCAGACTTCCGGAAGAGATTATTCCCCTAGGATTACTTCTCTCAAACCACTGACTGGTTCTTCTTAAGGCCCTTGTTCACACTACGTCTTGACTCAAGCAGGAAGTGTTACATGAGTTATTTGGGCCTTCCCTTCCTCCTCAGGTTACCTTCCTTGCTACTTCAGTTAGGTATTTGGGGTGAAATCCCAATCTCAACAAAATATTTTGCCACTGAATTTAGTGAGGCCAGGTTTTCACCCTTGGCATGTTCTGCATGACGATACAAGAGCGCCAGCTGTGTCTGGTTAGCCACTGCATTCTTTGTTCTACTACTGCAGCCAAAGGGATTTTTGCCAGTGTCTTGAATAAGAGCTAGATGGGACCTTAGGGTGAAATCCAGTCCTTACACTCATGGCTCTTACGGGAATACCCATCCCCCAGTGAAATCAATGGGACTGCTGTATATTTACAGATAACGATAGATTTAGTTCTTAGGTTTACAATAGAGTACAACAATATGTTACCCCCTGATACTAGGCCTGCTTTGAAATGTTTATTGTTACATCCTTGTATTTTTGGTTATATCTCATTAAGAACATAATACAGGCTTGAAAAACACATTCCAAAAGGGTATTACAGCAGGATTGGGATTACTGGTTGCAAGACGCTTTTAACTAGAGGGGAAATTTCTAATTCAATTTACAGTAATGTCAAAGAACAATTAATATATAGGCAAAGATAACAGAAACATGCAGAAGTATACATTGATAGCACTACATCAACAAATAAACTTTTGGTGCTAGTAATTAGGTACACAAGATTATTATATGTTTAATTGACTAAAGTGACAATTTGGAATTACATCTAGTCACATTTAATTGGATTTGGAATCTCTAGAGGAAAGGAAATGGAGAGCAGTGTGAGGAAGCAGCCATAAAAGCAAACTGATTTTCTAAAGTCTGTTAAAGCACTGCATTAATATCCATTGTACAATAGTTTTTAATATCCCCCCGGTCTAATAAGAGTAATGCAATGGTTTTAACAAACACTCTGGGTAGTAAAGCGTATTTAATTAGATACAAAGATAGCTGATTACTTTGTTTTTTGGTGTGTGTGGGTTTTTTTTAAATAGCATAATTTAATCAAAGGTGAACTATGTTTGACTTTGCAGTAGACTGAGATATTCTCAAGCTCCCATGTTGCAATATATTAGCATCGCAGTGCTGTTCTGGAAGAAATTTAGACTGTATTTAAAGTATTTTAGCCCATAAATACTTTAAAGCATAATAAGAAATGGCTAGAATAAAATATTTTTGAGCAGCCATTAAATATTTGCACACAGTATAAATAGAAAAGCCATCAAAGGGAAAAATTTAGGGCTGTTTACTCGCATATAGTTTAGCTACATAATAAAAATGCTTACTGTATTCCCAAAATGTGTTTTTTACTGTTGGGCAATGACTGATAGTTACATATAATGGTGTACCCTTTTTACACAAACTTTATATTCAGTTCATTTTATGTTATCAGGTTTAAATATTTGCTGCTTACATCTTTTCCCCATCCTATACACTTGTTTGTTCTGCTTTTGTCATTAGGAGTGCCATGATTGCTGACTACATGTACTGGCTGTCAGGAGGCGGTGAGCAGCATATAAGCAAGCTCATCAAACTGTATTGGCAGGTAAAAATTGATGGTACAACTTGGAAGGAGGCGCCCATCTCACTATTAGAAGCAAAATGAAGGATTAGTACTTAAAAGACTGCCGACAAAGGGAGCTCTTGGGCATATCAATCATGAGACATTGTACAGTACTAACGTATTTATAATGAAGTAAAATTTCTGGGATTAATTTTAAGGGCGAAATTCAAGGTTGTTAACCCTTGGCTCATACTTCAATTTTATGGACTGTTATAAAATTTAATTCCTGATACTATACAATCCCAAAAGCTTTTTTTTAAGTGCACCCACAATAGTGCTATTTTCTCTTTTGCAATCTGCATGGTACTGTCTCTCTGATACCTTTCTGTATTCTTGCACCAGAAGAAACAAGACCTCACAGACTGCCTCAAAGAAAACAGAGTACAGTAAGAAAGATATCTCCTTAAGGCCCCAGTTCTGCAAAGATGAACTGTAAGCACTGTGAGTAGTCTTCACAGCTTCAGTGGGGTATCTTACCCAGCTGAAGATTGCTCGTTTCAGTCAGGTATACAGGATCCAGCCCCTGATTCGATCAGTCACTCAAGCACGCACTTAACTTTAAGCCCATGAATATCCCCTTTAAATTTAAATGACGTGCTTGTAAGTAATCAGGAGTCTAAGCACTATATTGGATCAGGGTTAATGTGCTTAGTGTTAGCTCCCTGGGTCCTTAGCCTATTGCATATACAACATACTGTATCTATCAGCATCAACCACTGCATAGGAGTCTCTCCCCTCCTGTTGTCTCTTCTCTCCTCTATTTTTAGGGGCTGGGATAAGGGGGTAGCAGTAGAAGCAGATCAACTCCTCTCCTTACTCTTCAGCTGTGGTCCTGTTTTCCATTTTATTTGCTTTAGCTCCCTGCCTCTGCCCTTCTTGCTGGTGTCTTCCTTCCTTATTGCCAAAACTGGCCCTGAGCAAAGCACACTGAAAAGGCTGCTCTCCTGGCTATCCACAAGAACTGCTTTACGGACTAATTGATAGTATTAGAGGAGATAGGTCCCATTCCAAATTACTTTGTCAATAGCTGATGAAATGGCTCAGAAAAATCCACACAATCTATAATAGTTTCATACAATGTCCATGAGCGTTACCACACAAAGAAATATCAGGGCCTGATTCTGATCTGCTTTACACTGGGACTGTACTGGCAAAACAATTTTAGTATATCCCATGGAGGGTGAATTCGCCCTTTCCAGAATTGTTAACTACATCCTCCCAGTTCTTATTTATATACCAGAATAAATTTCAGTTCAGAGAGGCACTGTCTTCCAAAACTACTATGAGTGCAAAGCATGTCTAGTTCAGAGTATTACCCACTGGAATAGTGTTTGCTGTGCCTGTGAACTTTCTCAGATGCCTTCAAGCAGGGGATTTCTTCAATACGCAGCAGTTTGATGTTTTTTTTTCCCACTGGGCTACACTCATTTAAAATCCTAAGCTCACAGGCTTTATAAAGAGGTCATTTTCTAACATGGAAAAGCTTCCTTTTACTCTTAACATTTATCTCCACGGATTTCCCCTTGTTGGCATCATGGGTTCCAAGCTTCTTAGCTTGAACTCTTCAAAGTAGCAGGGAACAAATCAATGGGTGTAGACTGCTCCTCACCCACTGCAATAGACCCATGTGGTCCTATTGCACAGGGGGTTGGTAGGAACAGGAGGGAGAGGATGCAGGGAGAGGTGCCTGCCTGCTCTCCCCCAGATTGCAGTTTGGGAGTGAGGCTGCAGCAGGCTGGAGTAGAGACAGAACCAGAAACTCTGTCACTAAGCAAAGCCTCTGATTTCCTTTTAGGAGATAGGGGGAGGGAGGGAATTTCAGTCACATAACCTATTCTAGCTCTTAGTATTCCCTTCACAATGGGAAAGAACCAAAGGATTTTTCCAGTGGCTGTCCCTTTGCTAACTGTTACCCTAGCCAAGTGCTCCAGCTCTATTCCTATTCCTTGACCTTGGTAGCTGAATCATGGGTGGGCACAGGTATTCAAAAAGCCCAAGCCTGAATTGCTTCCATGTTTTCAGGCTAGTCTAACCTCCACAGATTGAACCAACTTGCAAGTGAACAGACATTCACTTTTGATACCAGAAATGCAACCACATGCCTGCAGTGGCTCAGGCTAGAAGCTGGGGGGCACTAGAGCAGCTCTCCCTTCCCTTCAGCAGCAGCCACGAAGCTAGAGGGAAGCTGAGCTGTGGGGTGGGGAGGGTGCAGAGACATGGCCACTGAGTATGATTAGGGAGAGGTTTAAACCCTGACCCTGGTCTGCAGGGAACCCAGATGGGGTGTCCCTGGAGGGGGAAGGGGGAAGCAGCCCCTGCCAGGTTTGTCCCTGAGTGGGGAGGGGTGCGTGGCCAGACACCAGCCCAGGCAGTGCCTCAGGCAAGGGGGGCAGGGAGGGACATTAAACTCCTCTGTCTCCCCTCTGTCCCACCAGCACAGGGACCCCAGCCAGGCTCTGCCCAGCTTTCTGCCCCACTGGCCACTCATGTGGCAGGGAGCATGGCCAGAGCTGACCCAGGCAGCAGCCTCAGGTGAAGTGGGGAAAGGGAGGGTGATTAAACCCCCCTGCCTCCCCTCTCAGGCATGGGCATGGGGACCCTAGCCTGGGTCTGCCCAGATTTCCCCCCTACTTGCTGCTCATGCAATGTGGGGCATTGCCAGAGCCCACCTTGGCAGCAGCCCCAGGCAAAGCGGGGAGGGGTCTGCCCAGCTGGCCACTTGCACGGCAGTGGGCATGGCCAGAGTCAGCCTGGGCAGTGCCTCATTACGTCTCCCTAATCCCCTTTCCCATCTCCCAGGAGATCAGTCAGGAATTACCCTTCTGCAGAAGGCATGCTATAAATGTGTTGCATTGCTGGGAACAGCTTGTTGGGACATAAAGGATGACTCCATGTCCTGGGGTTCTGTTCCAAACAGATCCCTCCGCTGCTTGGGCAGCTGCTTGCCTGTGCCAGCTTTGTTTGTGCAGCCAAGAGACTTGGGGCTGGTAGGGGCCAGTGCTGCCTGCTCACCAAGCTGGCACAGATATGCAGCTGCCCGAGCAGCAGAGGGATCTGTTCGGAGCAGAGCCCAAGGGCACAGAGTTGCCCTTGTGTCCTAACACGCCACTTCCAGCTTCCATCCCAGGGTCAGCAAGTGCCAGGCAATGCAATGTGTTTATAGCACGTTGTCTGCAGATGGGTCATTCCTGAACAACTCCGCGTAGCCCTGAGCTGGGGTCCCATGTGGAGGGGGCAATGTTTTGAAAGCAATGACAGAGGCAAAAGATGTGAACTGCTCCCCTCCCACCCCCATCCCCTTGTCAACTAGCCATCACTACTCAGGCTAGGGAGTAGAGGGATGGGGCCAACCCTGCCGTGCTTGAACAGGCAGCACAGCATGCTGGGATGCTGGGGGACTGTGATTTAACTTGAACCAGGAAGGGGTCTGGGACAGAAATTCCATAAACCGGTTTGACCTAAATCAGTTAAGTCTGATACTACATTTAACCAGGTTTATCTTAAACCAGTTTCAGCCATTTTGAAACCAGTTTATGTGCACTGAACTTCTGTTCTATTACAGATTTAAACCAGTTTCTGATCACTTAAACTGGTTTGTGTGTAACTTCTGTCCCTAGCCTTAGCGTCAGAGGCCCCCACTAGCTCTCTTGATGCACATGCAATAAAATCTTATGTAGAAGCAGGCAGTCATTCCCCTGCTTCTTTTCTCCCTGTCCTTGGAGCTGTGTTTACTTCTCTTCCTTATCTGCAGAAGCTTTCAGTTGTTAAATATGATCTTCCCTAGATGCTTGATTTTCCCTAAGAGACATGGGTTGCTTCACTGCACAAAGTCAGTGCCTTTAAACTTCTTTGGCATAGGCTAGCCTGAATGATAGGCAGTGGTGCACTCCCACTCAAGTCAAAAGGAACAGCACTGGGTCCCTAGAAGGCATTGTGGGTGAAGATGTTCCAGTACCGCCATCACAGCCTTTATCTTTATAGTTAATGAATTCTGTGCTTTTAGCAACAAGGGCCACTTCAATGTCACTCGTGCACCTAGTGACAGTAACACAGTATTATGTGGGATGTGACCCTGTGTTGGGACCTGCCACCTCATGATGATCAAGCAGAGATAATAAATGCTAATCTTTATATTAATATTGTCTCTTTATCTGTGGATAAAACTGAAAATATCTTGTCACGACTATCTGTGCTTATGTGCTTTTGTAACCAAAGCAACAGCTATTGATGCATGCTCCTTTTCTTGTTAACCATTCCACTCCTCCTGTTTCTGTAGGCAGCCTCACAATTTGAGGGAAATTTACAGAAGAGGAAGCAAAGAGATGCAAAATAGGATAGTGTAGATCTTTACTTTCCTAAAGAGAGTGTTTTATCATGGGAAAAACTAAGGTCCATCATACTTAGCTCTGATCCAACATCCTTATGCAAACTTTTCAGGATTTTAACCATGACTCTTGTTTCTTCCCTCAGTGATTCTTGTATTGGAATAAGTCCTTTCTCACTCACATCTTCTGCCTCTGTCATTGCTTTCAAAACATTGCCCCCTCCTTGAGTCCTTCCATTGACTCCTTTCTTATCACTGAATAATCGATATCTGAAAAGGTCGGTATTATTTTGCCTTCTCCTAAATATTTGCCTTTCTTCCTCACTCTATAAGAACTGTCATTTATGGGGTCAAAGCAGTAATGTCCATCTTGTCTGGTATCCTGTGTCATACAAGGTACTGAAGGGGAGACTGAGCAGAGTATGTGTTTCCCCTGTTCCTCTCCCACTTGCTGCCTCCAGCATTTAAGGTCTACTCCATAGTCTCACACCAATCATTTCCTCTTATTCCTCCCTTTGTCTCCTTTTCCTTTCTTGATTTTATGGTTTCTATAATGCTGCCCCTACCCCTGACATCATCTGCTAAGAGTCCTCTTGCTTCTTTGTCATTTTTATTAATGATTAGACTTCTCTTCTCTGCTGATGACCTACATCCTTCC